CACTTACACACACATACAGCCCTCTAAATCCCCATGCAACACTTGCTTATTTGGGGTTTTCACTGCTAGACCATGCAAAGAAGCAGAGGAAACAAAGCTTACAGAATTGCTTACCTTTAAAAATTGCAAAAAGTACAGGTTTTTACTGACAAGTAAACAAAGCCTTCTCTGCATTGCTAGCTGTTCCAGAATCCCCTCTTTTATAAGGTCTCTGACCTTATTCTCAGTCTTACTTCTGTGGGTAGAGTGCATGTTTTCTCACCCATCTATTAAGTAAAGAAAGCAAATTGACGCAGTCCACCTGTTGACCCTGTTAGATCAAAACTTGTCAACTAGAGGGCCATTCAAGAGCCCCCATGCCTTAGAAGTGAGATTCTCATCCACATTTCCACAGAAACACAGACCACTGTTCCCTGCAGAGTGCTCTGCCCTTTTGTTAAAAGGGAACAATCAAGGCAAGTCACTCTCCACTTTATTGCCACCTCCGTGGGGCTACAATCTTGTAAAGGGGATAACATATATATTAAAATAAGCTAATGCTATGTTAATATTACATATAAGTGGTCCTGACATGGAGATGGGGTGAGATCATGACAGATGAGGAAAAGCTGCCCGAGTTGGAAGGAAGTGTACAGAGGAGTCCAAAAGCACATTCTTGAGAATGCACTGGTAATTTAGGGGAGGGACTGGTGAGGAAGCAGTAGTTGGGCTACGGTGAAATCAGTGAATGGGAAAGCTGGCCAGGGAAGAATTCAGACAGCCTTGAATGCCATGCTTAGGAGTCCTCATCTTCATTCAGTTATCAGCTGAGAACCTCTTTTCCCTTAACACACCATGCTACTCCTGCTTGAAGTAAAAACTCACAGAGGTTCATAACAATTGATATGGCTTCTTGAATAACCCAGCAGAGTCACATTCCCTTTGCAGCACAAAGCTAATAAACACAAAACCTCCACTTTCAGTATTATCCTCTACTGTAACTGTTTGCCAGTTACAGTAGAAGGCACTCCTAGAAGGCACACCTTGAGAGTGGGACTGTTCTCTCAACAAATATAACCACACCACCTAGCAAAGCATCTTTGGAAAATGGACCCTGAAGCTAGACTGCCTTGGACTAAATCCTGGCTTGACCATTACAAGTGTGAACTCCGGGTGCCTTAGTTCTCTAATCTGTAAAATGGGAAAAACAGCGCCTATCTGGTAAGGATGAGATGACTCACATAAGACAACAGTACCTGGCACACAGTCAGCACTCACTAAATGCTAGGTGTGTTGCTAACACAATCCTCTCCTTTCCACTCCGTATCCAATTACAAAGCCCCATCAGCTATCTTAAAATACTTCTGGGATTTTTTCCATTCTCTCCGTGCCCACTCTTTCCACGACTCTGACCATAATATCTCACCTAGATTACTACAATACTTCCCAAACTGGCCCTTTTCAGAGCTCAATGCATATGTTACTTGCTCAGGGACATTTCCCCAAACCCCCAACCTCTACCCACTAGGTTAACAAAGTCACAGAGTACTTATATTTTGTGTCCCACTAGAATGTGAGTTCCATGAGGGCAGGGACCTTGTCTATGTTTTTCTTCATTCCATCCCATATAGTCCAGCACAGGACCTGGAATTCAGGGCACACTCCAATATCAGATGAATGAATAAAGAGCGGGTTCTGAGACGTTACTACTTAGTTTTGGATCGTCTAACTACTAATATTAACCTCTGTTTAAAAAACTATAATAAAATGAGAAAATATCAAAGGAAAAATTAACTTATAATTCCATTTAAGAAGAGCCCACTCTCAGTGTATTCAGTTCTACAAAATTAGACAAATTTATGAAAGAGGGAAAGTAAATTGTGTATAGAGAGTCATATTTTCTTTTGCTTTCCATAACAATGGCACAGAGGTGTCCCCATAGGTTATGGTATATTTAGTGTTACTATAAAACCCATCCAAGAAGTTAATTTAATGGAGAAGGAGTCTTCCCACAATTCATACATTTATATAAAAACTCTTGGCAGAAATCCAAAGTTACACACCAAACTGTTGCAGGCCTAGGAAAGGTGTGTGTAGGTAAGGGGAACTTTAACTTTCTCAATATATTTTTGCAGTGTTTGAATATTTTATTGTACCTGTGACTCATAACAGAAAAATAAGGTATTTTAAAAAATCGTGCACAAATGCAAACTAAAATAACTGTCTTGCGCAGTCCAGGATTTATGTTTATAGAAAGTATAGAAACAAGGTTCTAATTACATTTCTCTAAGAGTTTCTTATAAGTCTATTCCCTGGCCAGACTTAAATTGTGTTAGACTGGAATCACATTTGATTGAGAAATGTTTAATTTCCTCTTAAAGGTTTGTGTCATTCTACTTAAGCAAACCCAGAAGCACATCCAGATCTCCCTGGCTCTGTTACTCCCAGTTAAACTGTAGGAAGGTCTTTAAAGGTCTTAACATGAATGATAAATAAGCAGAGGAAAAAAAAGTAAGGATACAAGCAACAATTTATATTCTATCTAGAACTACTGATATTTGAGAAGAATCTGGGCAACATTTTAGCAGAAATGCAGAAAGAATCCAGACTTGAAAAAAAAAGGTGTTGGACTTGTGAGGTCCCTTCTCTGATTCTAAATAAACATGTTTCATTCAAATACAACAGTTTAGCTGCTTTTTCAACAAGATACAGAATACAAATTTAATTCATTAAGAGTTTAGGACTATTTTTGAGGATACAGTGCTACCAAAAGAAAGAACTAGTTATAAATGGCCTCTAGACATGAAGGCCTTGAGGGTTTCTGAGGAAACTGAAACAATCTTTCAAGTAAATGTATAAATTATTAGAGAAGTTAAGGGTATTCTAACTGAACGCATTATATATATAAAACGTTAAAATCTTAGACTTAAATTCTATGTTTTTCTTCCAGTGTTATTTGAACTAATTTATACTTGAAGCAGGTCAGCTGAAAAACTAAATTTATTTTATATCAAATTTTACTTTTGATTGTTATAATGTATCATGTTAGCATTTGGGAAAGTGGGGATTAGCAGACAGAGCCATTAGTGTAAAATATATTTTAAAGTACTGATTTCAGCAGGAAGAAAATGGTGACTAAAATATTTAGAGGGTGTTAATGACGAGGCATGTTGCATATGTCTAGAAATAAATATCACTAGATATTTTGGCCTGCAAACATCAATGATCAGTTTTTGGTGTATTCCAGTAGAAGGAGGGGAAAGAGCAACAAAAAACATTTTTTTAATAAAGAAACATGAATTCTGATATTTAGAAGATTATAACTGAATACTGGTTCTTCATGTATTTATAAAAGGATGCCTGATGGCCCTCAATTATAATTCAAAGTTTTATTTCACGCAGGTTCCTTGATGAAGTTTGTTAGGAATCCTAGAACTGAGTGTCCGTTATCACCATCAGATTAAACTGTTTAAAAACCGTGTGCTGAGAACTCAAACAATAAATTGGAGGTCTATACGGAACAAATATAAGGTAAGATACACAATTTGAGAAATACTGTGAAATTTTACAGTCATTTTTTTAAAATAAGAAACTCGCTAAACACAAATTACTTCAATGGTATATGTTACATTGCATGGGACATATTATATGCTTTTAACGAAAAATTTAAAACCCGCCATAGGTAGAATTACTTTTCTAAGAGGTAAATGACTGTCGTATATTCTGATCCTGTATCCTAGCCCAGGCCAGTTGTCATATGATGTGAAATTAAATACTTATCATGATAAAACCATACATTTAGACAAACGTGGTGAGGTAAGAACAGAGTGGGGAAATGACTGGTCTGAATTAGTGAAAATTTTAAATGTGGCCCATTGAAAAAGTCAATTATCAGGAAACCAGTATCTGGAAAAGCGATCTTTCTTTCTTTCCTAGGAAACACTTACAGATACTGATTTAAACACAGTCCCTGGCTTCTAGTTCCCTTCCCCCAAACCTCCAACTGGGGCAAACGCATACAGTCATCAGGAATCAACAGCAATGCAACTATAAATTCAAAATGGTAGCTGGTGGACAAAAGGGTGAAAGCAGCTGCTCTAGGGGGAAAAAAAAAAGACAAAAAGACAAAATAATGCCATCCCATTCACTCCAACCTGTCCCCACCAAGAAAAGAAGAGGACTAACTGAATATAAGGAAAACCAAGAATTAAGCTCTCTTTTTTTTTTTTTTTCAAATTGGGGAACAGAAGGAAAACACAACTGTTATTCCTGTGTAAGAGACTTCAAATAATTAAATGGAGTTAAAAGGGCCTTCTACTTTTGTTTGTTTTACAAATTTAATCTACAAATCCAATCTCTATAGAGAAAGAAAATAACAGAAAGTAAGCAGACAAAAGATTAGCCACACATGTAAGCCTAGTCTAAGTTGGCAAGAATTTTATCTCTGGTAAGGCTTCTACAGTAACAAATGGATTAATTTCCTTGCCCAGCTTTCACTTGTACTGCGGAGAATGCAAAACAAAGTTGTACTTCTCGCCCAAACAGTAACACCAATCTGTTTCAAGAAAAGGTCTCCGATTTTTAAAAGCGCACTGTTCAGTTCAACCATTACCATCTTCTTAGACCAAACGCCAGAAGCTGTCAACTGCTTGCCCTATTTAAACGTTCATCTGCACCTACTTCTCCCAGCATCAAGACAGGCAGTTGCAAGAGAGGGGGAGGGCGGGCGGTGGATCCCGCTTGGGGCCGCAGAGCAGCGTTACCGCAGCTACCTAGTAATCCTGGAGTACCCGCAAGGAAGCACCTGGCCAAACCCTAGGCGAGAACGTGAAACTGCCCCCACGGTGGGAGGACGGCGTAATGGCACGTGTTCCCGGGGCCGGATCTGCCCGCCACGGCGGAGCGAGGCTACATAGCTGGACGGACGCTGGGTGGGTGGGTGGCAGCTGGGGGATGCGCCTGCGACCCCCCAGGGCCCCAGACGCAGGGAGAGGCGGCAGGTGCGGCGGGCGGGGCCTCACCTGCACGCCGGTGTAGTTCTCGAAGAAGAAAAGCACCATGCTCTGATAGATGCAGTAGAGCCGGTCGTCCACCGCCTGGTAGAAGCGCGAGGGCAGGAAGGCGGAGAGCAGCCGCCAGGCCCCCCAGGCCAGCACGTAGGTGGGAGCCGTGCCCAGGAGCACGGCGGCCGGCAGCACGCAGCACATCGAGTACATGTGGAGCACCAGGGACAGCAGCATCTTCCCGGCTCCGCACGAGGAAGGCTCCGCCGGCTCTTCCCCGCCCCGCCGCCGCCGGCCGCCCGGCGGCCCTCAGTCGGCGGCCAATCACCGGGCTGGGCCGGGCCCCGCCGCCGCCCCCTCACCTCGCCGGGCCGCCGGCCGCCCCTGAGACGCCCAGCCCGCGCCGGATCCGGCCTCCGCCCCGAGCCGCATGGGCCGCGCCGCCGCTGGACGGTGGGCGGGCTGGCGAATGAGGGGTCCGGCGCGCTTCTCCCGGCCACGGGGCAAGGGGAAGCCGCGGCCCTCGGGGGGTCGAGAGCTCAGGATCACTTACACCCCATGACCCTCGCCCGTCACCCTATGCCCCTACCGGGGGCGGGGCTCCGCGCCAACAACACGACTCCTGATTGGCCGCCCGTTACCATAGTCCCCCTCCGCGGGTGGGGGGGGGCTCAGCGGCAAGAACTCGTCTCCCGATTGGTCGAGTCGTGCTGACAGTCGACACGCAACTGCCGCCCGGACGCGTGGACTGCCCGCTCTGGCTACTGCACATGCTCCAAAGCTTGCCCTCCCCCCGCCCCCTCCCCAAAGGGAAGCGGCGACTTCCGGGTGGAGCGGGTTGAAGGTGGGTGTCGGCCGAGGAGGGGCCCAGGCGGCCTTGTGCCCCTTGGTCCGGCTCTGGGCGCAGATTGGCTTGAGGGAACGCCCCACCTGCTGCTTGCACACCTGAGGGCCCCTGGACCCCGGGATGGACCCTTAAGCCGAGATGTCCCCTTCCGAGGGGCGCACCGGCGACCCGCGGTACCTCGCAGGTGCTGCAGACCTTGGCTTCGGGCGGCTAAGAGGACTCCTGCTGGCAACGGAGACTGGTCAGGCCTGCTGTGGGAAGGCCCGCAGTGACAGCAGTGCGATAAGCGCTGTCAAGGCGTCAGCCCTGGGTTATCGGGCCAGGCTCACCTTCCGCTCCACGGTGGCTCTCACCCCCTCCGCCTTCCTGGCTTCCTCCTCTTCTCCCAGCCGGGTGCACAGGACCCCCTCTCCTGCCCTTCACTCGCCCACCTGCATGTTTCTGAGTCAGGCCCCTGCCTTCCCATCGCTACAAGTTTACGCACAGCTGGACAGCCTGTTTACAAGGTTCTTGACACACTGGTTTATTTTATCAGGCCTTATATCAAATTCACTCTTGCTTCACTTCCCCAGGCCTGGCGCTTTAACTTCTGATAGTTTATGATGAGCCTCAGCTTTTGAGTAGTTCTTGAAGGTACTGGAGTGCACATGTGGGATAAAGTACTAACCTACTTCTGTGACCTTCACAAAAATCTGGGAAATCAGGGCAGCCGTTTTATTGATGTCAAAACAGACTCTGAGGCCTTCTGAATCCTTCTACTGCCCTTTGGCTACAGTGAGTGTGGTTTACTGTGTAATCCTTTCCAGGGATAGTTGCACTTCAGAAGAATGCCGAATGATTTAAGTGGAAAAAAAAATTTTTTTTTTTGCCTGAATGCAAGCCTGTGGTGTAGCTTTATGCAGGAAGACATTTTAGCGGAAAATTCTAATCAGGGCCAGGACGGTGGCTGCTTGATTTGACTGTCTCTACGTGATTGACATCATGTAACGTGATTGGTAAATGGTGACCTTGAGGGACAAGTCCAGGTGAATAGAGATTGCTCAAGGAACAATTATTTGGACAGGTATATTGCCAACAGGAAGCATTAAACACTCAAAAGATTTTCAACGCGGTTTCCCCTCTTTCTGTGGAAAGTAATGCCCTGTGAGAGCTAGAGTCATTCCGGAGGGAAAAAGTCATGGGTATGGATACCGTGCACAACCAATGCTAATCACGCTTCCTTTAACTGAGACCAGACATCCCTACAATTAGGAAAATGTATGAAGAGATAAAGCTGGTTCAGTGTTAATGTTACAATCTGTACACATGCAGTCAGTAAATGTTGTGATATGTAAGTGTGTTACTTCCTGTGAATTACCCCCATATTACTGTTAGTCACCTGGTTGTAGAGTTTTGTGCCAGGTTCTGACATGGGGACACTGAGAACGTGAGCCTCTCTCGTCCCCTGTTTATATCCAAACCCAGCCCGACACACTCACTTATCCCCTGTGCTCTTCAGCCTCCTCTCTCCCTGCTGGTCACAGATTTACCCTCCTTTCTGCCTTCCCCTCTCTCAAGCTGTACTCAGCACGCACCCTCTGCCTCTACTTCCTTACGGTGTACATTTTTTAACCCCTTGCAGTCTGACTTCCTTTTCCACCCCTCTGCTGAAACGGTTCCTTGTAAAGAGCGCGTCTAACCCAGCCTGCATACAATGGCTCTGGGATATAACAGTGAAAAGACTGATCGCATTTAGCAGGGACTTAGGTATGGGGTGAGCTTTACGTAAAGGGGGATATTCAGGATACACTGGGGACGTATACCAACGAGATCTCATTTAGTCGGGGCACATAGAAGGCTTCTCAATTAGAGAGAGATTTGAGATGAAGTTTGAGGGTGGAGTTAGATGAGAGCTAGAGAAGGGAAGGAAGGTGAAGAGCCTTCCAAGTGAGAACAGCGAGTCTCAAGGACTGAAGCTAAGAGCCCACAGGTTCTCAAGGCTGAAGAGACCTGTGTGCAGCATGGTAATGAGCCGCTCTTCTCTGTTTTTTATTCGGATGCCCCCTAGAAGTGTGCTGTGTATTTCCCTCACACATTTGTAAGTTAATAGCTAAAATTATTTTTATCATAAGTTTAATTAGTTACAAAAGAAATAAGTTCTGATGAGTTATAAGTGAAATTTTAAAATTAATTACAGAATTTAAAAATAGTTAAAATAAAATAACAGAAATCTTTTAAGTGGACCCCATGGGTTATAAATACCATAGTGATTTAATACCAACATTCTCCATGTAAAAAAGATTTTTACCAATTAGAATTTTACATTGATCCTTTGTCTCCTCGAAAACATTTTCATTCCCCTTCTGCCACATAATTTTATCTTAATGGAATATATTTTATGCTTCCACGTCTTTTATTGATCAGACTATGTCATCAGGGTCCTAAGAGTTAAAATTTCTTCTGGATTGAGCTATGACTCTTGTTAGCAACATACAATTTAATCCATGTATATCACAAAATCTGATAATTATTGTAAATAAAGGTAAAGTTTGATTGGAAATGCTTGTCTTAATGGTACCTTAATTAAAAGAAATTGGCGAATTATCCTCTGGTGTCCTAAAGTTATTACACCTTTCCCACCTCACTGCGGAACAGTGTGGTAAGGTTGGGGGCTGGGGAGCAAGTGGGCAGGACGGTTGTGAAATGCAAGGCGGTCTGTACTCCATGAATCTTCTCAGGCATATCAAATGGACAGATACTTTGGAATCAAGAAATCTACTTAAATGAACAGTCAGTAGCAGAGCGGTTACATGAATACACAAAGATGCCACATGAAGTGTTATGCAGCGGTTAGAAAAAGACTAGGTAGACCCAAGTGTACCTAAATGTACCCAAATGATCTGCACGTTAGGTGAAAAAAGCAAGTTGCTGGATAATACATGCACTATTACCTCATTTCTGTAAAAAATAAAACTATATTTCTAGATGCAAATGTCTAAAAACTGATGACGGCGGGCGGTCTTCTCAGGGGAGGGGAAGTAAGATTAGATGAAGTTCAGCCGGACTTCCTGTATTGTTTCAAGTTTTTACAAAGAAATATTGATTCAACAAATATGTATCCAGTTTTCCATGTCCCACTTCATGCTGGGTGTCAGGTAAAGAGAGAGAACAGATAAAGGCCCTGAGGTCATGACTCTTGCGGTCTGGGGTGGGGCAGTGGGATTAATTTATTTCAGAGGCAAATAAAAATAAAGGAGAAAAATAAGAGATGACTTTTGCAGGAGGTAACTAGAAGGTGGGATCCACGGGAGTCTTCACCTTGGTGATAAGGAGGGGCAGGGAGGGTGAAGAATGCCTCCCCAGTTGCAGGCTTGAGTAACCGGGTGGCATTTGCTTTCATCTACGGGGAGTGGAAACAGGCTCTGCGGAGCACAGAGCTTCCAATCAGCCCGTGCGGCAGAGAGCCCTTCAAGGAAAAAAAAGAACACAAGTTTACAAATAAAAAATTGGATTTGAACATGGATATTTATTTAGAATGAGAAAAATAATTTTTAAGTGTATAAATTTTTACAAGCTGACATCACAAAAATAAAATATTCAGAAAAATAACTTTTATCATGTAACTATCATAGATCAGTGATAAAGTATACCTTTCTTTTGACTGTGAAAACCATTTTGCATTTTCTCTACAGAAAAGTAATTGCCTCTCTAGCATGATAAATGTAAACTTGGTTTTTATCATTCATTGTCAGGATGCATGATATTCAACCTCACACTATGACTTTAGTACATTTTCAGTAAAACTAGGTTTATTTCGTGAAGAGGGGGAGGTGCGAAGGAGAGGGAACTTGACAAACGCACTGTAAAATTCATGTAGGGAAACAACTCAAAAATTTTTGAAGAGGAGGGCTACTGAGCATGGCAGTCGGAGTGACGGCCATCCGAAGACATCCCTGTAATTTCTGGAACCCATGAATACGTTAATTTGCTTGGCAAAGGAGAATTTAGGGCACAGGTGGATTTAGGATTGCCAATGCACGGCCTTACGGAGCGAATGCCGGGTTTTCCAGGTGGGCCCAATGTAGTCACGAGGGGCCTTAAAAGTGGGAGGGGGCAGTTAAGGAGCTGAGAGCGACGTGCTGAGGCCCGCCCTCGCTGGCTTCCTAGACGGAGGAAGGGGGCTAGGGAGGGAAGGCAGGCTCCAGAGCCTGGAAGGAACGCGGGTGCGGACTGTCCCCCGGAGCCCCAGGAGGACACAGCCCTGCTCGGTACCTTGCCGACTCCAGTGACACCTGCTTTGAGCTTCTGACCTCAAAACCGTAAGATACGTTGGTTTTATTTAAGTTTCTAAGTAGGTGGTGATTTTTGATAGCAACAATAGGAAGCGGGTCCATGGAGGGAGGGATTTTTCCGGTAGGTACCGACACATAGTGTAACGCTACAGTAATAGTGTCTTGCTAGTGTGGAAGCGGACGGCTCAGCGGGGCAAAAGGAAGAGTCTAGAGACACAGGTGCTGCTGTGTATGTGTGTTTTGTATTGTGTCTCATGAAAGTGGCATTTAAAATCTGAGGGAAAAGAATGAATTAGTCAAAAAATGCTAGTACCTCTGTACATTTGGGGAAAATGTTATATAAACAAACTCGACAACCTACACCCAAATAAAAGCCAGACGGGAGGATTTAAACATAAAACTTCATCTAAAAAGTTAAAAACAGGCTTCCCTGGTGGTGCAGTAGTTAAGAATCCGCCTGCCAGTGCAGGGGACACGAGTTCG